TCGTGAAGAGCTTGTAGAGTACATTCAATAAGTATATGGGACGATAGTTACGAAGATCCCTTCGGTCTCCTTTCTTGGGCAGGATGACTGTGCGCGATGTCGTCAACTGGTCTGGGATTTTTTCCTTTTGAAGGTAGGCTGTCATATGATTCGTGAGAAGTACATGTAAATTGTGGCTCCCAGCTCTATAGAAGTTAGCGGTAATATTATCGGGTCCTGGAGCTGTGTTGCCTCTTTTCATGCAGGTGGTTTTTCTCCAGCGGGGATATTAAGGCCCGGGACGGGGATTGTGGAACGGAAAAGGTTGGTGTAGAACGTTTCCGCTACTAATTCTATATCATGGCGGGAAGTTTCGACGATCCCATCTTCACAATTTTAACTTATTATTTACTGCCTACTCTTTTTAACGGCAAGGTATACATTGCGAAATATAACTGCGATCCCATCTTCGTTCATCAGGGCTGACAGTGGAACATTATAATTACACAAGTCCCGACGGCATTTTTTCAAACTACTTCTTTTCTCTGCTGCTTCCAGTATTTTCTTCTGCTTTTACCGTTGTAGATCTTCCTGCAGAGCTCTTCTGCAGCTGACATTTATTACTAGCCGTGTTAAACGTGTTTCAGTAGGATCAAGCCTCAGTTTTCTTCTCTTTTCGAGCAACTCCCTAGTAGTCATGAAGATGCGATCCGATCTTCTTGCTTGAGGAACTGAGGCGAATTCAGCACAATTTCTCAGCCCTTCGACAAGCAGCTCGTAGTCCTCGGTCGGGTGTTTTTTAATCTGCCAGTCACGTTTGGACCGGACTTCGTTCAGAATGTTCTCATCGTATACAGCTAGACTTTCTCCTCGTGATCGATGAAGAGAGTTCTTTTCCAGTTCTCCCAATCCAAAATTTTCGATCCTGTATTCGCTCTCGTTGGCTTTTCCTATTCTGGCGTTGAAGTTTGCAACAACAAGTTTATGATATGCTTTATCATTGCGGATGACTTCCTTCAACTGATAGTAGAACGCATTTAATTCGTTCTCATAAGCTACGTCGGTCGGTCACTAGCAGTTGTTGATAGCGATCTTCTTATGATGCGATAGTTGAAGACGGGAGACGGCTATGCGAGGGGAAAGGAACACGTATGAGTCGATGATATGGACAAAGGACGGGTGGACAACAAAGCCTACTCCACCGACATTTCGTAATGGACCTTTTCTCCACGGATCACAAGGGTCCCGTTGTTTAGTTGGCGAATGTCGGTCAAAAATGACTCAGTCAGAATAAGCGGTCTAATTTAGTCTCTTCGAAATTTAGTCACAGAGCTTATGATTGTTTCCTAACCTCAGTTTTTCCCGGTCACGTTAAACGTGTTGTTAACCATAAACCAAACTATGACACTAAAGTCTCTGAATAAAATCACATAAATGCAAAAGAAATAGGAAAGGCAAGCTTTGAGACTTCAAGGTGCAGCTGGATCAGAACTATTCTGCATAAATGAAATGAAAGAAACAATGGCGTCATATCTTCGTCGTTCTTATGAAAAGCAATTAAACTCCGTTAGGGTTACCAAAGAGCAGGAGTGGATGGAATGGCTGGTCTCCGAGCCGCTGCCAACTGACTGTGTTCCATTCAGGAATTGTCGCCATTCCGATCTCGTTCGCCACTCTTCTTGTGATTTGGATGTACGTGTACTCCAGACCACATATCAGCCACTGCCTCGACAAGCGGCCCCAATAGGCTCGCGCTGCGTGGCCGCCAGCACTGCCAGGTGGTCGCCTCCTCATTTCCTCTGCACTTATCACTTTTACATCTCACTATATTGTCCACATTTCATTATTTTGCCTTCTTGAACGATAAAGATTCTTTAATTTGGACTTCTTTTTAGATGAACGAAAAAACTGCGCATTATGAGACAAGCGCAAAGAAAGGAATATACAAGGTGAGGCGACAATGGAACTGAAACAAATGTTTTTTTTGCCATTCTAAGTGATGGGAGGAAAACGAACCATACGGATTTGTGGAATGCTGTGAGACGAGGAAAGCTAGGTGCTCCATGTAGGCTGCCAACCCCCTCCACTTCCTTTTCCGATGGCTTACGCTCTTTCCACCGCATCAACTAAGGCCCATGCTCTGCCTTTATCTCAGTCAGTTCTTTTTACCCTAAAGGTGCTCTCAGCAATCATTCATCGACGGGATTAATCTAGAGAGCACAAATCTATATCAAGTTTGGTTAAGCTGAAGCTGCAGTCGAAGTCACAATATTTAACTTTTCAGGGAATAAGTAAGATGCTTACATCGAGTTCTTTTGCAATTTCTCCTGCATTTCTGAGTGCATTTGCTTCTACCAAAGCCTTGAGTTCATCGCCCTCAATAGCTGAAAGACGTCCGGGACCTTTCTCAACTTCGAAGGCCAATTAGCCCCGACGAAATTTCCCAAACCAATGTTGCACTGTGCATTCGTTAATATAACTGCTATAATGCTGAGAGATTTGCAAAACTCCGGACCGCAGGTGTCTGCGGTAGAGAACGAACGCGCTATTGTCCTTTCCGAGGAGTAACGCGTTCACCACCACACCATGCGGGTCCTTCGTTTTGCCTGCCTCTCAGCTAGTTCTATCGATCTTTTGCCATCAGCAATCACACGTCAGCGGGATTGATCTGGGGAGCCCAAATCGGCGTTGAACCCCGTTAGCAGTCCGGAGTTTTGCAAATATCTCAGCATTATAATAGTTATATTCGCAAGATACCCTGGAGTTAAAAGGAATAGGCAGTAAATAAAAAGGTTAACCACAACGTTGCTGAGATATTTGCAAAACTCTGGACCGCAGGTGTCTGCGGTAGGGAACGAACGCGCTATTGTCCTTTCCGAGGAGTAACGCGTTCACCACCACACCATGCGGGTTCTTCGTTTCGCCTGTCTCTCAGCTATTTCTATCGATCTTTTTGCCAAAGCAATCACCCGTCAGCGGGGGTGACAACGTTGTGGTTGTATTTCGCTTAGTAACCTGCCATGAAAATTATAGAAGGCAGAAAACAAAACGTTAAACATTGTGATTTCAACTACAGCCGTAGCTTAACTGGGTTCTATGCCGATTTGCGCTCCCCAGATCAACCCCGCTGACGGGTGATTGCTGTGGCAAAAAGATCGATAGAAATAGCTGAGAGACAGGCGAAACGAAGGACCCGCATGGTGTGGTGGTGAACGCGTTACTCCCCGGAAAGGATAATAGCGCGTTCGTTCCCCACCATAGACACCTGCGGTCCAGAGTTTTGCAAATATCTCAGCAACGTTGTGGTTGTATTTCGCTTAGTAACCTGCCATGAAAATTATAGAAGGCAGAAAACAAAAAGGTTAACGTTCGTTAATAGTCCTTGTCCATCCTTCACTAATATTTCAAGTCGTTTTTCCTGCATTACGATTGAAATTGAATTGGTAAATATAAGTTGCTCGAAATTCCGATTTCTACAGCTCAACTTCTAATTTATAAAAGTTACCAAAAATATCAATACGATATCAAAATGTCAACAGTTTACTTTCTGCCTACTATAACTGCTGAGTATGATGTGAATTACAACCACAACGATGTTGAGATATTCGCAAAACTTCGACGCCAGGGCACACCGAATCACGATTTCCCATTCCCAGAGGCTGCGCATTACACACTACGCCCTCGGCTTAACTGGGTTCAATGCCGATTTGTGCTCCCCAAATCATTCTTTCTAATGGGTGAATGCTGATGGCAACGTTATGTAGAAAACTAGCTGAGAGAAACGCAAAGCAAGGGTCTCCGTTGAGCAGTGCGTAATGCGCGACTTCCGGAAAGAGAAATCGTGGTTCGGTCTGGTTCCGGGTCCAAGTTTTGGGATTATCTCAGCATCGTCGTGATTGATGCGGTAGTTCACTTGTACCGGACGACAGCGCATAATATAGGATTCCTAATCAAATACAGTAGCACTTGAAGTGTTCGAAGAAAAAATGGTTGCTAAAACAAAGGTAAGAAAGCAAAATTGCAAAATCTACTTTAATTTACGAACAACCTAATATGTTAACAACAACAGCAAAAATCGTCAATGTGGTCCTCGAACTTCTTGTGGGATTGGTTTTACTGTCTAAGCCAGAAAACCGCCTGTTTAGTGCCTTTACTGCAAGGCGACAAGTTAATCGCTAAGGCCTAATGCTTCCGTTGGTTTTGATTGAACACTTCCCCAAGCGAAGCCTCATTTGTGAGGAACGTGGCAGGAAATTTTTACTGCCGCCGAAGCGGAAGGCTTACGTGTCGGAATTCTGGATGCCGGCAACTACAGAGAGGGCAGCGATAGTTCACGAACATCGCTCGTTTACCACCTCGTTGTTGGTCATCCATAACATCGAGTTCACAAAGTCTACCGAATTCACTGTGGGAAGTGCAATGGCTACCGAAACCACCAAGTGGGCTCGAAACACTTTCAACTTAGCCTGTTCCCTTCTGCTGTTCCAACAAATGTGCTATAATGCAGAAAACCTGCATCGCTATCGTAATAGCGGAAACTGGAGAAGACACTTATAAAGCTGCTTTCATGACTACGTCTATTTCAATTCCTTGTTATTTCTGCAAATGAAGAACGCAGCAGTCAAACCAAAACAGTATACTAGGAATTTAATTTACAAAGGAGGCTGAGGTTCTCATAGAGAGATATTGCGTGTGTTAGCCAAAATCATGAATTTCAACAAAAAATAAACTGCTCAGTTAGCGTGCGAGTTTTTGAAAGACATAGTTTCAAAAGAGCTTTTTGACATCGTGAAGGTCGTTGTCGTTCATGATCAGAAGGCCATTCCTCATTGAGAATCCTAACGTCGGCCCATAAGCATAAGGAAGCTGCTGGCATACGAGAGTGAGTGTAGGACATTCTGCAAGATACCTACTGCTTGGCCACAGAATTATGTTCAATAACGTATTCAGGAGAAATGCAACCATAAAGATGCTGCGGTACGAGCAGAACTCGGAGCTTAACTTGGGCTTCGTTTCTGCGTTTAGCTTTACGGGAGAAACACGTGTTATCCATCACACCAACCGGGACACTTTCTTTTTATTTTATGGGTGCTACCGCTTGTCAAATCGAATGGAAAAAAGATGGCTGAGAAAATTGCCAAAGAGTGCCCTAGTTGGTGATGTAAATGGCAAGTGAGCACCCGGCAAGGATAATCGCGGGTTCGAAGCCCAGCTGAGGTTCGGAGCTTTTGTCAAACCTCAGCATCCCTGTAACTGTATGTGACGTTGTACCGTGCCATGAAAAAAGAATAGACAGCAGATAAAAAGTTAAAACAAATACAAGGCAACTTTTCCGTAGGTCTTATACAATGTTTCGATTTTTCTTCTTTGAGCAACCACAACGTTCGTAACAAACAAAATTCTAATTTTCCAAATGACTCAAGAGGAACATTTATAATTCCATTAGGACTGCACGCAAAAATCCCACCAGACTTTTGCACCAGTGTGAAATCAATGCTGTACTTCATTTACCTTGGAATACTTTCTTGTATTAAGCTAACTTGAGGGTGATAAAAGGCTTATTTGGCTAATGTTTTGACGTCTTCATCTTCTTCAGAGCCAATTTAAACACATAGATTATCGCCGTCACGATGTGGTCGCTCGTTATCGCATCGAATTCAACCCAGTGGTGTTACACCGTTCGAGGAATCTCGGAATAGTTGGAAAACCAATTGTTTTCCTCTGGATGACGTTTCATTTCCGCTCCCTTAGGGTTTTTACATATTGCATTAAAATAGAATAAGGTTGTTTCTTTTTTGAGAAAAATAGTGCAGAAGAGTTCACGAAAAAAATTCGCTATAAACTCCTATGCAGTAGTTTCCAAATAAAATGTCAGTTAGCGTGCGCTTGGGGAAGCCCTTACCCACTCACGAGTGTGCGGTATCTCACTAGCATTGCGTTCGGAGCTCGATTGCGCTACTGTTTGATGCACCGGAACGGCATTCAAGCTAAAGACGCCTACATTCTCTTAGATATTATGAATACGAAAATAAGCAGAGCATGCTGCTGAGTCTTCTACTAGCAGATGCTTCAAGTTTCTTCAAAACTGAGGGTTGAGTGGAACATTAAGGAAAAGCGGAAAAGAAAGCAAATCTTTCATAGTTACATTTTTTTGAAATTAATAACACCAGTTTAAAAAATTTTACACATCCTTGTAACCTAATTTGCTAAGAAAAACGGGTAGAAGGTGAATGTTGTCAGACCCAAGATTATAGTACGCTAGTCCAAGCGTCCCTTCATACATTCTTTAGCAATTCCCCAACCTTCTTGTCCATCCTGAGCATCGGGTCACAACCGTTCCCGTAAATGTCAGAGACTAGTGAGACAAGTTTGCAATTCCAGTATTTTACAATTTCACTCGGACTAGAAAGGGTAGTCGAATTTTGCTTGTGAGGTTTGTAATAGAAATCCTTATCGAGCTCTCGTACTTCGCGATCTAAACGATCTCCAACTACGGAGCCGCCTGCAACACACACGTGGAATTGATCCCCGCGTCCATGCATGGTCCACCAAGCCTTCCATCCCTGCAGGGTCGGCAAGTTGCTACCAGACTTGTCTGGGAGGATAGCAGCACTGGCTCGATGAATCGGTAGGCCACCGCGAGTCATTGTAAAAGCCAGATATGCATTCAGTCACCTACAAATGATGCTTAATGAAGCAGAATGTATGGCGCATCCCTCAAGAATTGATTAACGACTAGAGCTTTCTCCTTTATCCTTTATTCAATGTTCACTTACGATACCAACTACTGTAGT